CTGAAGGAAATTACTTTTTGATGCTCACATTAGTATGGAAAATATAGGTCAGTCTGTATCAGAATTCACAAATACCAAATTCCTCAAAAATCTTAATATTTTAATTGACTTTTTGCTTTTTTTCATTACCAGAACAATATATAATACCTAAGTTGTAGTTATGAGCATTAATATCTTTTATATTTTTCTACAAATGGGATTATCAGAAAATTTTATGCTGTACCTCTTCTGCCTAGGGTGAATGCCCCTGTCCAGGCCTCAAAGAAGTGCAGGTTCAAGAGAAGGTTTTTTTTTCCTTTTCCACCTTCCAGAGACTTTCCCCTTGTACTTCAACATGTTAGGGTTGGTTGCCTACCCCAAATCCAAGATTTTAATCACTGTATAGTGGCCTGAGGAAGTATGTCAGGTGAGTGAGAAAGCTAAAAAGGGGCATTTTTCCCCTTCCACCTGAAACATTCTATTTTGTTTGTTTGTTTGTTTGTTGGCTTTCTAACCCACCCCCATGTGTTAGCCACACAGTACATGTGCTTATCGGTCCATTTAGTATGGTTTGGTTAATTCCTTTACCTGGGAAGTCTTAAGAATGTAAAAAGAAACATTTACTATATTTTTGAGCGGTTCCATTTCACTTCCAAACTTAAGCACACTCAAATGTGCATTATCATTTGCCCACCTTCTCAGTTTTTCACAAGCCTGAGAGTGCAATCTATGCATGGCTGTCTACAGCTTCCTGAGATTAGTGGGACTTTTTTCTGTCTAAACATGCAAAGAATTATGAACTTAGTCTGCAATACTATACCCACTTAGCTAAAAATAAGCCCTACTTAAGTCAGGTGGATTTACTTTTGAGTAGACCTGTATAGTACTGCAGTATTATGCTCAGATTTTAATTGATTGTGGCAGTGTGTGAATTGACTAAATTTGGGAAAGCGATCTTCACGAGTTGCCCCTTTGCAGACAAAATTTTATGCATTGATTCTTCACCTTGGGGTATAACTGAAGCGTTTGCTTACCTTCACTAACTACAGCCTGAGTATATTTTCAGCCAGGAGTGCATCTCTGTTCCTGAGCTATTCCTGCGGCTGCCACGATTGTTTCAAGATTGTTGTGCTTCTTAGCCTTGTCTGTATTTATTGTCATGGTTATTGTTATGGGCTAGGTATGATTTCCATGGTCAGATTTATGACATCAATGTTCCTTCTCATGTGTGCGATAGTCTACAAAATGATTTAGTGCTGTGATGGATGGTAAATTCTGAATCCTGCAGACTTTCATAAACATATATTTTATCTTGACTTCATTCAGATTTTCAAGCCTTCTAAATGATGAGGAGACATTCTTAAATTAATTGAATAAAATTAGCACTTATAATACATTCTCTAATACTTCCAGTTTTGTATTTTCTATGTTCTCTTTCTCTGCCACATGTTACTGCCCTTCTTGATCACTACACCACTGAGTGCAGATTTATTTTGATGTCCAGAGTAGAAAGGGCAGGAGCAGGGTTGTGAAATTTTTAAAGTTGGCAGACTGTAAGCACAGCCATGGCATTATCAGGAAGAAGACTGGGTGGTGACCAAGTTGGCAGTTCACATAGTATAAGGCAAGGTTGGTACAGGATAGGCAGGAAAAAGGGTTTTCCAACAGTAAGAGCTCCATTTTTATTGTAGAAACAATTTGCTCAGACTAAAATATTTATTTTATTATTATTTATTAAAACATTTTTATGCCGCCCCATTCGCGGAAGCCTCCGGGCGGCTTACATCACTAAGTTAAATAGGAATGGAAAGCTTCATTTTCTACTGAAAATAAATCTGTAGTGAATCATATTTCAATAGTAGGAGGGGCTGGAACTATAGTGAAAATATAAAATATAAAAATAGTGAAAGAGGCCACTGCCTTTCCTCTGCCCTTCTTCTTTTTCTGGAACTCTGTCTGTCTGTCCCTCCCCGCCACCACCCCATTTTTGGCATTTCCATTTCACTTCCTCCCTCTCTTGGCTGGTGAATCAGCTTCCCAGATGAACCAACATTTTCAATCTTTTTATCTCATTGATTAAAGGTTCTATTTTTCTGATTGCTGTATCCAGCTAGGTGGATGTTATGGGCTTTACAGCAGTTCTATACTTCTGAAAGTTCATTTTAAAATGAATAAATGAAAAACTGCTTCTCATAATTCCTTGCAAAGGGCTTTCCCCACATTCTTCCTCTACTGTTTCTTTTTATCCCATTACCTGCTTGTACCCCTAGGCTAATTACCCTTTTTTATACTTTTATACCACCCAGTCTTCCAATTGCTTCATTGCCCATTTGAAGAAGGTTCAAGGGAAGTTGTAGATTATGATGACATTATATGAAGAGAATCAGTGTCTGAGCTCCAACCAAACTAAGGTTCAACACCACTGTGCTGAATTTTCCTATAAGAAGCCAGTGGACACACTGAATAGTGTCAGAAGCTCCCAGCAGCTCACCCCCACCCAGAGGTCCTGTGCCAGTGACAACTCCAAACTACGCACATTGAAGGTTTGGTAATGGAGAACTATATGTAAATATAATAAAATAATCATTTAAGAAAGATAACATGTATTCAATTAAAATTATTTAATTGGGTCAGAGCTTTCACTTAGATAAGTAGGCATGCAGGTAACATGGCTCAGAAAAAATACTTTTCTAGAGATTGTTTACAGACAGATCTAGAAGGGGAGTACATGTCCTCTTTTAAGCGGTGACACAGTCCAAACATAGTTTGAAATATATTTCACAACAAAATGTTCTATGTTTAATTCATAGAAGAGTGATCTGTCAATGGCAGTCAGACATAATACTAAAATAGAACCTCCAAATTCAGTAGCATATTACCACTGAGTACAAGTTGCTGGACAGAAAACTGTTGGGTATATGTTGCTGCTTGAACACCATGCTTTTACTGTGAGTTGAAAACAGAATGCAGTGCTAGATAGACCTTTGATCTGATCCAACAGAGCTCTTCTTATGTTCTTAATTAACACTACTTCTGTGTATGTAGAGGTAGTGTTAATTAGGAACACATTGCAGCATATTTTACTTGCCGCCTATCTTAGGTCATAATGTACTGGACTATAGCTGCTGCATGTGTTAAGCTGATTCTAATATTTATTCACTCAGCAGGGAGAACACATGCTGTGGTTTCCTAATGTACACTTTAAGCACTGTACTGTAGAGTGCTGTATAATAACAGTAATAATTAATAGTGAGTCTCTCACTGCCAGTACTGCTTATGACCCTCTTTGTGGTTCCAGGGTTCTAGTAACCTTGATCCTGATGGTACATTTCCTTGCTTTGAAAGTTTCATTTCTTAGATGTTGCAAACATGATATTGCTGAATGGAACTGAAATGTTAAGGCCAGGATTGTGGCATGGTTTTCTGATGGCTTCACGTTTGTTCAGGTCTCCAAGGACCAGCACCAATAAATGTGAAAGAGACAAACAGCAGATTGGCATACTTTTCCATTTCCACCAGGAGAGAGAAAAAATGCACTAAATTAAGTCTAACCTTAAATGTATAATCTGTCCTTGGGAAGGGGAAAAAAAAGGGATATAGCATCTCTGAGCTCTCGGCATCCCTTACGAGAAAAAATTGGTTCTAAGGGTCTCTGATCTTGTGTTTTAGTAAAATAGAACTGCACGGCTGACTGACAGTTCTGATCTAAAGCATTTACGTTTAAGTTTTGATCTCTCTGCTTTTGATTAAAACTAATGAGCTCATTTAATTCAAAATGGGAATCTCTGATAAGAGAAATAAGGTTGATGTGATTGGATTAGAGGGGCAAATTAAACTCTTAGAGCAGAAGTTTGTGCTTATATAGTGTATTAAAAAGCTGTTGGCGTATTATGGCGTGTTAGATGATGAGAAAAATTTCATAGTAATTCATATTTAATCAGAAGAAATGAAACTACTAAATATAACATGGCTCTGCTTTTCCCTCGAGTGATAAAGAGCTGTACATTTAAAATGACATGAAATTCATGCTCTCTAAAACAAAACAAAAAAAAGCTTGAGAGAGACACTAACAAAAGGAGCATTCTTGTCAGTGGATTAATCACAATAGAGTTGAAATGCCATAAATACAAAGTACATGGAACCATATCAGAACAAGGTATAGGCAAGTTACTATTGCTATCATAGGGCAGTTTTTAAAATATGAAAAGTATTGGCTAGTAATGAACGATGATCTTGGAAAGACACTAGTAACACATACTTTGTCAGTTTAAACTCCTCAAACAGAAATATGTTTTATTGCCAGTATGCTCTGGGAAGTTCACTCCGGAATTAATTATTTTAGGCAACAGCAGTGTGGTTGCATTTGATATGAAAATAAGAGCACTCAAAGATGTACCCTGTTCACTCATTTTCAGGTGGACTAATGACTACTGCCATTATCTCTATTCCAAAACACTTCCATACTTAAATAAAAGAGCAAAGAGAGAAAGAGGCCTCAAGTTGGTGATAGAAAGTAGTAATTTGAAGATTGTCCAAAATGACCAGTAAGCACTGAAGGCCACATAGAATCCATCAAAGAGTTGTCTCTAGCATCAGCTTGAGATAATCTTTTTCCTTTGCTCCATTAGGGTTCGGTTGGTGAGTGGGAGGGTTGTCCATGTCACTCTTATCAGGAAGAAGGGGGGAGCTTCCTAGGCAATCTTGCATGATATTATCTGATCCTTTTCCCTACCACTAGGTCAATGTTTCCAGGCTGATTTAAAGAATATCAATAGTTTTGGTATCGTAACTCTTCCTTCCACAGTGGTCTGGTCTTAATCTAATCTCCTTCCTCTTCACTGTAGGCCTGATCTAATTTAGGGGGTTTCCACAGCTTCTGTTAATATTTTTAAAAGTGACAGGATGCATAACCCAAATTTTATACTTCACATCTACTTTAATCCCAACTATTAAATAACTCAAAGGGACTCTGTAAATGTTTGCACAATCTATTAATTATTTTGTTGTTATTTCTACTCTAGTGGAATCCACAAGCCCCAGCCTACTTACAACGGACAACAATCTAGAACGTTCTTTTTTCATCCGGATGAAATCTACCCTGACCAAGCGAGGTGTACACATAAAATCTTCAGGATATAAGGTAAATTTGGTATTGGCTTCTTCAGAACATTTTATCTCTAAGGGGGACCTGGTGGTTAAAAAAATAGTATATTTATATATTTAAAACTTTTCTATACCATCATTTATTTTTGTTTACAAAATTAAAACAAAAGAAAAGCTACAACAATTAAAACACAGAACCAGTACTTGATAAATGAGTTAGGTTGAATACGGTGTTGGCATAGGCACACCTCTTTTGGGAGCATGTGGGGAAATAGCAAAAAAGGCCCTTCTCCTTTTAACAACCCTTCTTACCTCTCAGAGAAAGACCTCCGCAGATGCTCTTAAGGTCTAGGTAGGCTCATACAGAAAAATAGATTGTATTATTGTTATTATTATTATTTATTCATGTATCTTCTTCCTTGATGCCCTTCAAAGTCAGAGCCTGATTAGTTTGACAAGGGTAGCCTATTAGTTTGATGGAGTCAAATGCTTGCAAATTCCCTTCATCGTGTGCCACATTGCATAAAAAGGGGAAACTAGCATTCTTTAGCTTGACTACTTGGGGCAGTATTTGACTTCGGGTACAATCCTATTTATTTTTAGACAGAAAAATCATCCTACAATATGATGTCTAGGAAATGCTTGGACTCATAGGACTTTTCCATGATTCATAGGATGATTTCTCTAATGGTCCATGTAGAAATAAATAATTAAGAATGAACATACTTTCCTGAGAGTAAGCTGCACTAAACACATTGGAACATAACTTCTGAGTAAGCATGCTTAGGGTTGTGCTGTGGAACTATAGGGCAGCTTGTTTGCTTGTTTGTAGTATTTGTGTACTTATTGCATCTGAGCAGATTCCACAGTACTAAGTGGTACAAAATTAAAACAATTTAAAGGATAAAAAGAAACACATTAAAACAATTATTGCCAGTTGTCTATAATTTCTCTTCATTAGACTCTGTGCATCACAACTGTTGTTTTAAGCTTCCGTCCTGATTACTAGAGTTATTCTAACTTTTCCCTAATTTCTTTTTGATCCCAAAGAAATAGAATCATAGAAAAGTAGAATTTAGAGTAGCCAATAAAGCCAGTGGATCCAACCCCTTACTCAATGCACAGTTCCAAATTAAAGCATCCCTAACAATGAATCTCCAGTTGCATCCATTGTGGAAGAGTCTACAACCTCCCTGGGTTATTGATTACATGAGTAGAAGTAAGAGTATTTGGAAACGACTCTGGGGGATGGTGGAGGACAGGAAGGCCTGGAGGAATGTTGTCCATGGGGTTGCGATGGGTCAGGGGCAACTTTGCGACCAGCAACAATCAGGTTTGATTATTATCAGCAATTATTTTTTTCAACATTATTCATTGGCTGTCAGTGATCAATAGGGAAAACTTTTCCTTGTTTTTCATTTCCTAATAAGTACTGCTTCACAATTACCAGATGTTTCAGCCAGAGTTCAACACTTAATTTGCAAGGTGTTCTACTGTCCAGCTTTCTGCTGTTTTACGCAAGATGCAAAATACTTGCTCATGTACCCTGGTGGGCCACCATTGAAAAGGCTCTTCTCCTTGTTGCCATCATCCAATCCTCCCTCAGATATGGAAATTGGAGGAAGGGCTCTGTAGGTATCTTGGTCCCAAGCTATGTAGGACTTTATTTGTCAAAACCAGTACCCTGCATTGGGCTCTGAAGCATAGAGGCACTCAATGCAAGTGGGTTAGAATTGGTGTTACGTGATCAGAGCATTTGATCCCTGTTCTCAAGTTGGCTGCCACATTTTGCACAAGCTGCAGCTTCCAAATAGCATGGATGTTGACATCCCTCAACACTCAGCATCACAGCCAAGACAACCTCTGTCAGCTCAGATAGGAAGACTGCTGCTTCATAGGGTGGACAGTACACCAACAGAATCCCCAGTCTATCCAGCTGTCTCAACACAGATGCAAACACTCTAGATTAGAAGCCAGATGGAGAAGGAGCCTGGACAGAGAGATAGAATTCATATAGACCATGGCAACCCCACACCTCCCTAGCCTTCCAGTTTACCTTGATGCTGTACCAAGTACCCTGGTACAGGTGGGGACTGTTAGCAATTGGGTCCAGATGGTCTTGCAGGCAGACCGTGCAGGTAGGCCTCTTTGCAGGACTGGGGGCCCTGGAGCTTCTCTCAAGAGAGCCTCAATCTAGCCAGCCACAACCTCAGCCAGGAGAAGGAGGTGGCTGGTGGAGACTAAGCCAGGTGGGAAGCAAAGCTGGCAAGATGGTAAAGCCAGCACTCCCACCTTTGTTGAAAGAGTCCAGGGCTACTGGTCAAGGCTACAGTCTTCAGGACTATATCGCTAATACCTAATTAATGCCCAAAGTAAACTTCATATATCCTCTTTGTTTGTTGTTTTGATATTATGGCAGACAATCAAGGTAGGAATCTACAAGCACACAAAAACAGCTGATGGAGTACATTGACAATAGTGAATGGTCTATTGTTTCATGGATTAAGCAAAGAATACAGCAACAATTAAGGTCCAATCACAGTTTTAAAATAATAGTAACAGAGATTACTTAGATGCATTTCAGGTGAATACAGTTGTAAAATCAAAGTTCTATATAGAGATGTTAGAAAGTTTAAGAACCACTGACTTTTTAAAGTTATACCAGACTTGTCTATGAGAAGCTTTATGTATCTTGGCCATAGGCAACAGCTGAATCAATGCACAAAAATAGAAAATTATTTCAGTTTTTCTGGGGGTTGTGGGGGAGGAGAGGGGACTGAATTCCTGTTCTGGAAGAGATGTCTATATGTCTATAAATACTGTTTCTGGAGGTTGTAAAACTTAGCCAATAGCAAATCAATATTGCTTTCAATAATTCCAAAATTAACCCATTATTTCCATATTGCCACCCACTGTTTGTACATGAGAAATAACCCATTTTCCATGAGAGCCAAATGAAGGCCAAGCCACACATTAAATGCCCGTGATACAACACAGCCGCAATATATTAGGTAAGGTGAGAAAAGTGATTCCCCCATACCCATATCTAGTGATTTTGTGTCAGGTAACATTTCTGCAGTTAAACAGGAGGAAACCCTGGTACCAGCAGAAGGTGCTGAGGCCCAGACATGGACCTAACAATTTATTCTGGATGGATGGAGAGGAACCATCCCAAGAACCAACTGAGGATTGGGTACTGCTAGCCAGGAGACATCAGGGGAAAGTTTGTGCTGCAGGCAGGAAAGCTTCTAGTGCCATCCTTGCCCTGTGGGAGCCCAGACCCTGAGAGCAACTGAACTTAGGACAACCTCAGGTGTGTATTTTGAAAGTATTTTCAGGCTGTGAAAAAATGCCGAATGTGCCTACAATAAATGACAAATCCCAGTTTTTCGCTTGTTCCAAAACTCTCTCTGAATTGACAAAAGAAATTACTGCTGACCCTTTATTTCAACTGAATAAATGAGTACATTAGCTATCATGTTCTCAACAGCAACTTACACATAACCTGAGGCAGTTGTGAGTGTGTTTTCTTGCAACAGAAAATAGTTGCTGTGATGCAGAGATTATTCTGACCTTCAGCTCAGCCTTTGGTGGAATAAGAAAATGTCTTGGGATGTTTAGCCATCGTGAAGACAACTTATAAAAAGAACTCCAGGGATTTTAATTTAACAATTTATCTATAACACAGAATATCTAAGTATACAATTCTTTGCTGAAGTCTTAAAATTGTATGATCCGACTTCCAATAGTGCTTTCTGTTTGCCCAGTCAAAATTTAAGGAATCTTGTACTTGTGTCCAAAACATCCTTGTAAAAGTCATAGAAAGTTTTATTCTTAAGATTGGCGTTTGTCTTTAAAGTGCTAATTCTAACCATAGCTATTATCTTGGGGGGGGGGGGTTATTGATTTAATAAGTCAAGTGAAAACTAGAAATGCAAATATTCAATCACAGGCAAACACCCAAAATTTCAGTAATGGAGGCTGAAATTTGATTTTTTTCCCCTTATAAATCAACCTCCCTATAAATATATATTTAAAAAAAATCCTAACTCACAAAATTGAAAGATGAAAGCTCCAAAAATGTTTCCATAAATGAATCCTTATGCATGTAAATTTAGTTTTGGGTAGTGCAAATCTCCTAACCCTCTAAAACTGTATACTATAGCTTGTTAATGTGCATGTGAATCCTTTTTATGAAATGGTGTTATTACTGGTACTGTGAAGACTTTAATCAATCACTCTCTTAAAGTTGCAGTAAGAACATATGAGTGACTTTACTGAAGTAGACCAAGGGTTGAGTACACCATTTCATGAAGTGTTGAGTATCAGTTCAGGTGGGGGATCAGGTGGGGGAATCTTGTGCAGAAAGGAAGATTCAAATGCCCACAACTGAATATATTCAATTGCAAAAAAGAATATGGTTTTGGAGCATATGTTGTGAATATTTCCTCTTGTCAAGTAAAGTTGCTTTAAAAAGGCATTTGTTACTTAGGCATTGATACATGATATAATCTTGTGTCTAGTGAGATATCCAGAGATACAGCTGATCCTGAGGAATAATCAGAGATCGTTTGCTCAGAAACTTCCCTGGCGCCTATCTAGATCATCAGTTTTTCAAACACTGCCAAGCTAAATCATGCCTTAGGAGCGAAACATGATGGTTGAACCCTGTGTTCAGCAATACTAAAAGGCAATGAGATGTTTCCTTGTTATTAATGTGGAGATGTCCTTTTTCGTTCCCTGACAGCTTTGTCATTGCTGTGCCAATCCAATATGTGCAAACTTTTTAAAGGAACCTAAAAACTAGTGGCCTTCGCAATTTCCTATACAGTGGTACCTTGGTTCACGAACTGAATTCGTTCCACAATTCTGGTTGTGACCCGAATTGGTTGACAGCCAAGTCAAATTTCCCCATAAGGTTCAGTGTAAATAAGGTTAATCCATTCTGTAGGTTTTTTTATCACAAAAATTTGAAACAAAGTAACAAAGAACAACAAAGTACAGTACAGTAGAGAACACTAACCTGGGGGAAGGGAG